GGGCTGCTGACGTCATACCGTTAGCGGGTGATGTCATAGCGCGCCGTGGTGAGGGCTTGGCCTACTGACGGAAGGCCAGGCGCCGGGCGGCGGTGCGGTGGCGCTGGCACCTGGGCGGGTGTCGTCACGCGAGGCGGCCGGGCCTCACGTAGCGTCGCAGGTGCCGGCTGCCGCAGGGCCGCCGTGCCAGGAGTGTGATGTCACGAGCAGCACCTGCTGATGTCACGGCGTACAGACCCTGCAGGGCAGGGTTGGCAGGCTGCTGGTAGCCAGCCCGCGGGCCGGCCGGCCTGCCCCGTGGCGTGGCCGCGCCGGTGCCCTGGGCTTTTTGGTGGCAGGATGGCACCAGGTGAGGTGCCGGTGCACGGTCATGGCACTGCCAGCCGTCGGACGGGGCCAGCTCTGCTGCCTTCACCTCTCTTGGAGGCTTGGGGACAGTGCTCTTACCTCGCTGGCGCAGGCTCACAGAGAGACCAGCCAGATACTTGGACAAATGTGGATCCCGGCTGTTGTCCTAGCAGGCCGTTTGTATTCTTGATCCTTTCTGTGTGAGGACATCCTGTGGTAGCTGCAAAGAAGAACGTGAGACTGCGAATGCGGGTGGCACACAGTTGCTTGTACCCCATGGGAATACGAGCCACAAGACTGTTAAGGAAAGGAAATTATTTTTACTCGACAAACTCATAATGCTCGTGAAGACCAGAAAGCACGTACTCTGCTTTTCTGTTGCAGACTCAGAGGGGTTTTATGTCCTCAAAATTTGTCCTTTTTATTTTTTTTTTAATTGCACTCCTAATCTAACACTTGAGTCTATAGAACAACCCATTAGAAAAAGACCCTTTGCCCCGTAATATTTGCCCTCATTAGTATTGCTGCAAAGGTAGTAATCAGAGTAATTTTTTGCTTGCTCTGCTAAATCATTGGCAAACGTATTGTTTACTGGTTAAATGCTTAGTTGCTTTAGCAAAGAAAATAGGATCTTAAAATAGGTTATTTTTGTGGGTTTTTTTTCTAATGAAGTGGGACCAGTAAGAGATAATAGTGTCAGGGAAGTGCAATATTTGCAAAAATTCTGTACTAAAAGCTTGCTGTTAATTTACCAGGATTAACTTGCTTTTGTAATCATGTCTTAGTCTGTTTTTAAAAGCTGTATAAAGTGGATTGAAAAATATACTTTCTAGCTGATGTAGGCTCTGTATAACTTAGGTGGCTGTGAGGTCACAGCTATGTTGATAAACTTAAGCATAGATTAGACAGTAGTCTTGCAGCACATTTTTAAAACAGGGTTAGTAATAATTTTCAGGGCTATAAATTGGTTTACAAGTCACTTGGTGGTCTCTAAGTGAAAAACATAGTGCTCTTAGTATGACATATTTCTAATTCCATCAGAGAATTCTGATGCCTCCTGTTCACTTCTCCATTTCCCTCTGGCATAAGCAGCAGTAGCCTGTGATCAGTCAGTAAGGCCAAAAGAAAGCCCTGAGGGCTAGTGTTCTCAGCTGTGCTGTCTCATCCCAGCTTCTCTGCTAAAGCAACAGTAGGTGATCTCTCTGAACTTAAGCAGGCAGGGCAGCTGCATCTGGTCAGTAGAGGTGCATAAAAAAGGGGCAGTCTCAGAGGGGACAATACTTCTATTACTTATAGTTTTGAGGTGCTGGCTTAAGATTTTGTTTTTCTAAGAAGCTGTATTTTACTAATAGGTGTACCAAACTGGGGAAATTATGGAGGGATTTGATGCTTAAATCATTGAAGGTACCATTATTTGTGTTTAGAAATTTATTCTTTTTTATTCTTTGTAGTGGGAGTGGTAACATAATGTTTGTTTCTATAGTCTAGCGATAAAGAAAAGGTGGCTCTTGCTTTTAAGAATGGGTTTGTTTGATTATGTTTAGAGATGCTTCTACTAGATAGAGTAAAACCAAAACTGCTTGTTTTGTTTAAAACCTCCTCTTTCAGGTTCTAGTGCTCTGTTTCAACTATCTCTTTGTAGAGACATGTATGAGAGCTTAATTTAAGTAATCTAAAAGGAACTTGATTGAGACTTTTCTTAGTCTTAATGCTAACTTTTTTTGATAAGTCAATAGGCTTGTGCTACCTTTACTATTTTTTTATTATTACTACTTTTAAATAACAATATATTGTATAAGTGATATAGCTTCAGTTTTACGTTCTCCTTTTCCTCTACCTGAAGTTGAGGAAAAATGGAATGGTAGAATATTTGCACATACTTTCTTTTTAACAAGATAAACCAAGATACTGACTCTGTTTTCCTCTACTTTAGGTGTTCCTGGTAGAGAGAAATGACTTGTAGATGAACAGAATAACAACAAAGTAAGTCTGAGTTGAAGAGCTGAAAAATTCTTTGTGAAAATATGTTATAAGTATGGTAGTTGTTGCAGGAAATAGGCAGCTGCCACATAGTCCATGTTAGGAATTATGTGGATTATGTGGATGCCCCCTCAGCAGGGCTCAGCCCTGGGTTTCTGCTTGAAGAAGACGAGTTGCTAGTCTGCTGAATAAATAAGTGGTTTATTTAGCTGACATGCAAAGCAGCTTGAGCTGGGTGCCTCTGAAGATGGATCCCTACTGCAGATTGTGCACCCCTATTACACCCTTACAGATTTCCCAGAATGTACCACTCATCACCCAATCCCCAAATCTAATCACTTAATTCTGGTGGGTGGCCTCTTGATTTCTTATTGGTTTTCTTGATCACTGGGCTGGCCTTGTTCTAAAATTACCTTATTCCCTTGGAATTGTTCGTTGGTCCTTTTCTTCTTCATTCTGCTTGCATCTGCTGGTTTCAGTTTTGTATTTGCAACATTAGCTTTATCAAAAAGTTTACTCTTGGTCAGCTCTTGCAGCCTAAGGCTTCCACTACTTTAGTTTCTAATGCTAAGCAAGGCTATTAATCCTGACAATTCTCAACAGCAGTGGTAACTTACCTGCTTCTGCTGTCTGCGTGTTGAGGCTTCTCAACTCTCAAAGCCATAGAAATCTTCCAGCAAAAGGGGGGAAAAAACCAAAGAAACCAAACCTAGAAGCTTGAGGTTTTTTCCTCTGTGTATAAGTACTTAAAATTTGTTTGTAATGAGAAATAACATATTTCAGTGGCTACTGCTAAATTGTGCTGGTACAGTGTTTCCAAATTGTTGTTTAATTACCATCTCCAGTGCTGTGTTATTGGAACCCTCAGTACTCCCTGAAACAGCCTATTTATATAAATGGTTAGCTTAATAATTGGCAAATAACTAGTTTCTTGATGAACCCTTCCCAGTTTGTTTTAAATACTACTGCCTGTGGTACTGTTTTCTGGCAGGGAGATGAAAGTCAAATAGTTATTATCTACTGATTTTTTTTGTCTGTCTTTCTGTGGTTTGCTTACATTGAGCCTTAAATGTGAAACTCAACAAGGAGAATAGAAGAAATCAAAGTGTGACTTCAACATTACCTGACAACTGTGGCATCTGTTTATTTTTATAGCCAGACCTTCTTATCTTCTTATTTCAATTGAATGTTCTACTTGGGACTGGTGGATCCAGGTGCCAGACCTCAATCTAGTGAGCATTAATCTGTGCTAGCAGTGTTATAACATTAACTTTTTACTCTTGCAGTATTTTTAACTACCTTTCATTTGTTTGCTTAGAAAGCTTTTTTACTCTGATCTTCACTGAAGTTTTCTTGCAAGTGAGCTAAAACCAGATCCTTTGGTATCTGTCTTGGCTTTAGCAGAACCTTGTCTGACTGACTTAGAGTAAAATCAGTCTGCATATAATTGGGGATTTGTGTGTATGTTCATATGGGCACATGCAGCCTGGAAGGGGGAAGCTCTTTAGCATAATTAAGCATTAAGTCTGGATTTGTACAGTTCTTAGTGCTGTTGACAGTAATGGTTATGTTTATTCTGAATACTAGTAAGAATTTAATAACTTCAGTGCAAGTGGTGTTTCTTTGTCCGTTATTTTAATGAATCTGTCTTGCTGCATTTGTGGTAGTGCTATCAGGGTGTTCAAGGCTTTGAAGTCATGCAGTGTAGATATGGTAGGGGAAGTGTGTATTTCACAGATGAAAGGGAAGAGGTGTGACTAAGGTGGGGAGGTGTTAAGAGATAAGCACCTGAGAGAAGATGCAGGATAAACCCAGAGCTTGTCTTAAGGCAATGATAAAATTTTGTTGTGCAGCAATAACGGTCTAGACCAAGTAACAAATAATGCAGGCTTACTCTTTTTATTTTTTATTGCCTTCACTTAACTAGCAAGCGATGATTGTGTCTGATCAAACGTAGGGTGATACAGTCCATGTGTACCTAGATAGCTTTACTAGTGAAATCTCCAAGGCTGGAGAGTTGGGTTTTGTGTTCTGGTCCTTAAAATACTGAATAAAACAAGACTGGAATAATTGGATGACTGATATGTCCAGGTATCAGCAGAGATTATTTTTTTTAGCTTAACTTCTACAGTTTGGGGTACTGAAATGCAAACGAATTCAGTGAAAACTTGTTCTAATAGCATCTTGATCCAGACTGGAGACTTGATTAGGAGAGGAGGTAGTCCAGTGCTAACAGCTGTGAGCGAGAGGAAAAGGAAGCACAGAAATCTGCTGTCATTTCTTGAAAAGAAGGTGAAATAAGATAATTTTTTATATTCCCCCCCCCCCATTTGATAAAAATCTCTTTGGTTAGGCTACAAAATGGCATATGGAATTATACTCTAGTTAATCTGCGAAGTAGGACTGTCAAACTAGGTGGTAGCATCTGAGTTTTGGACAGGTGTCTACAGTTTTGTCATTTGAGGTTCTTGGTCCTTCTGTCTTGGTCCTGTTGCTTGCTACTAAAGGAAAGGCAGGGCAAGAATTCTTAATCATCTTAATTGAGTAACATCAAGTAAGGAGGCACTATGTGACTTCTAATGCTGTCATACTGTTATAAATAATTTTGTCCAAATTGGATAAGAACTTGCTTTCTAGAAGTAGTTTTCTACAAACAGAATGAGTCTGAAGAAGTTTTAACTGTAAATGGAATGATGCTTTTATTTGACTGTTTCAACATACCAGATGGCAGAATCTAGCAAAAATAAACTCTTGGGAGTGAACTGTAATTCGCTCATGGTTTAACGAACAAACTGTCTGTCCTGCTATTGCAGGTAACTGGGCATTCCCCTGGGAACTCTTCCTGTGTGGGATGAAGTTTGGCTCTGTCACAAGCTGTTCTCCTGTACCCCTGTTATTACAGCTTTGATGATTTCTGACCCTTGGATTAAAGGGACAGAGGTTTGGGGAAAGTTCCTGTAAATTCTCAACCTGTGTTAAACTGGTTGCTAGTAACAGCCAAAGCACTCGCCTGAGTTTTTTCTTCACTCTTCTATTGATGAATAAATATTGTCTGGTAATCTCTAAATAGTAGTAAAACAGGATCTAGTTTTTAAAGGTCTGCAGAAAAGGCTTTTTTTTCTCCTTTTAATTCCCTGGGTGTGGCTTTTGTAGCTGCTGAACTAGAGGTGATGTCAGGTTCTTAAAGCTGACAGGCAAGAAAGGGGAAAAAGATTAAGATGTGCATTTGGGAAAACAAGATACTACTTGGTTTCCTCAGAGGTGAGATCCCTCTGAAGAAGGGGTCCTCTGGTGCTCTCTGGCATATGGCAGGCCTTGGAGAAGAATAAAGGAGCGGTTAGCTTTGTTTTAACAAAGGAAAATATAAAGTCGTGGAACCTAACCAACAGCATAAAGAAATCAACTTACTACTTTTTTTTTTTTTTCTCCGAAGTGGCTTTAAGACCCAAAACCAGTGAAGGGGCGGATGTATTTAAATAAGGCAAGGAGGAAAAAAAATGCTTGGAGCATTGTATGGACTTTTCAAAGAAGAGTGCTTTTGGAGAAGTATGTTCAGTTATGACTGCAGGCTGTCCTGATGATGAAGTCCTGACCTTAGTCATTGTTCTTGGGTGGAGAAAAAAAAAGTGATTAGAGGAATCGCTTGTGAACAGAACTTCAAGGTTGGGGCGGGGGGGGCAAGTGTGTGTTTTAGTCTTTGAACTAGAGAGAAAGCTTTTTTTGTAAACTCGGGGAGTCTTGGCTATACCTAACACAGCCACTTTTTAAAAGCTTTAAAATAGACGAAGAATATTGTCGCTGCACTGAAGGTGGGAAGGTCACAGCTGAGTCAGCATCCACATCCCTGAAACTGTCGTGAAACTCGGCTGACGCTTGGCAGTTGTGTGGAGAAAGTGACCCTGGTGGGTTATGGACAGGATTATTGGTTTGGAGCTCTTGGGCAAACAGGCTTGCCAAGGGGAAGCTTGATAAGCGGTGCAATGTATGTATGGCGGCTCTTATGCTCAAATAAGCATTAGGCTTGTGTTTATTTCTAACAACAGAATCTTTCCAGGACTCTAAATACAGGCCAAAGACTTATCCTTTTGCTGTAATAACATCTGACAGCAAATTTAACGATGTAGCTCGTGCACCAAGCTGAATTCAGTTTACTTGATTCTTGTGTGTATCTTAAAGTGTTCCCAACCCCTTGCAGGTGAACAGGCTTTCAAAAGAAAACTGATGCTTTCTGGACCACCTCTTTTCCTGAAGATAACCTGCAGTTTTTTGCATTGCTCTAACTGAAAACTGCTTTAGTGCTTAGCTAAATAAGGAGGGGATGTTGTTAAAACTTCTTTGCTGTTTTGCCATGTAAGAGCATCTTGGCCTTGGAGGTGTAGGTCTAAGAAGAGATGCCGAGGTGTCTTCAGGTTTTTCTCAAACGGGGTCGTGAGAAGTGAGAGTGGAAGGGGTGCAAGGCAGGATAACCGTCCTGTCTGCCTGGAAGACCGTCAGCGATGGGGCGGATGCGAGTACAACGCGGTCAGCGTGGGGAATCCCGGGCAGGAACGTGTATGTAACCTGTTAGGTCTGCTGGACTGTTAGTAAGAGCAGAAGAGGAGGAAACCGGGCCAAGACCGGAGGAGGAACGCGGGCCGGGAGCGTTGACGCCCGGCCCGGCCCCGCCGCCTTCTCCCGCGGCAGGGGGAGGGCGGGGCGTGCCGGGCCCCGCCCCTCGGCG